TCCCCGCCGCCCCTCCCCCGCTCGCCCCCGCCCACCCGGCCCTCCCCGGCTGCTGCTCCCCGGCGGAGGCAAGAGGTGGTTGGGGGGACCATGGCTGACGTTTTCCCGGCCAACGACTCCACGGCGTCTCAGGACGTGGCCAACCGCTTCGCCCGCAAAGGGGCGCTGAGACAGAAGAACGTGCACGAAGTGAAGGACCACAAATTCATCGCCCGCTTCTTCAAGCAGCCCACCTTCTGCAGCCACTGCACCGACTTCATCTGGTAGGTGCGCGCGGGGCGGGGCAGGGCGCACGGACGGCATCCCGGACCCCTCTGGCGGTGCCAGGGGCTGGGGACCAGTTCCTCCCTAGGCCGGGGTCCTTTCGTCCTGGGGACCCTGGCGCGGGGCCCCCAGTCCAGGCGCGTCCACCCCAGGGCTGACTCACTCGGGGAACTTGGAGAGACGGCGGGAGTCCGAACTCTCGCCCGGAATGACACACGCGCGCCCGGCCGCCCCGGCCACTCTCACACGGGCAGGACTCCCGGGAAAGTCGCCGCCGGGTCACACACCCCCTGCCGCAGGAGGGAGGCTGGCCCCGCGCGGACTGACGTTAACCCCCTCCACGGGTCTAGTGCCCCCGATCTCCCCAGGCGCGCCTGCTCTCCCGTACAGATAGTGGAGCAGCCCTTTGCCCGCGTGTGAGCGAAGGGGAAAGCAACAAGGAGAATTCAGAGGGCAGAGTTTCCGGAGAAACGCGCCCGGGAGGAGCCGGGGGAGCCCCGGCGACTGCGCTGCGCGGTCCAAGTTGGCGAGCCAGGCTGGGCGCATTCGCGGGGTGTGTGTTTCGTGTTTCCCCTGGAGCCTTGGGTCTCTGCCTACTGTAGCTTGTATCTACTGGGCACGGAGAGACTTCGACTTTCCTGGGTGAGCTCAGAGATCGGAGAGGCAACAAACTGTTGAAAGCTTGCAGTGGGGGAGGGGGAACTAGAACGGAGCAGGCAAATGGCAGAAGGGCAGAGGGAGTCATTTAAAATAGACCCTGTCAACACGAGATTAGACCTGTAACCCTGTTGATGAGGACAGAGGCCTTATTTAAGAAAAATACTGTAAGGGCTAAAGGTGTCAGATTCAGGTAATTTATAGTGAACCCAGGTGTTCCTAACTTGGGGGGGGTTGGGGAGGAATTGATAAAAGGATGGGCTTCAGGGGTCTCTGAACCCTGTAAATCTAGGTGAAATTGTGTTCATATGTGTGTGTGTGTTTTTGTTTTCCTGGTGAGAGAATGATTGCTTTTATTAACTGATTCCTAAAAGGTCGGTGACCCCCCTCCCTCCCCAAAAAAATAGTTTAGAAAGCTGGAACTAAGGGAATTCCAGTTGTTCCAGTCTGAGGAGCAGGGGTTTTGTTTTAGGTTGCCACACACCCTGCCTCTTCCACCTCTTGTAGATGTAGGAAGCTCCCCCAAGTCAGGGCTGTGGCTAGGGTTCCTTAACTCCCACCTTTCCTAGGCTGGGGGACTGTACTAGGGTGATAGTGCCATAGAGTTCACCCTGCCACCAGCTGGCTGTGTGGCACATGTGTCTTGTTGGGACCCTAGGGAAAACGTATGGATGGCTGTCTGAATCCATCACACCTGGGGAAAAGCATCTCCAAGGGCAAATCCCACAAATGTGCTAATAAGGTGCTGAATTTTTCCTTTATGGATGGCTCTGTTTGAATCCATCACACCTGGGGAAAATCATCTCTAAGGGAGAGTCCCACAAATTTGCTAATATGGTGCTTAGTTTTTCCTTGATGGATGGCTCTGTTTGACTCCACACCTGGGGAAAAAACATCTCGAAGGGAGAGTCCCACAGACATGGTGCTAATAAAGGTGCTTAATTTTTTCTTTCCTTTTTAGAAATCTCAAAAGTACACTTTTATGAAAAGCACAGCCACCTCCATGAATGATTTCCACTGTGTAGTCAGTGTATGAAGCAATTGTGCTCGAAGGACTAGGTAACGGTAGATAAGGCTATTTAAAATGAGTTCCTGGAGCATCAGGGCAAAGAAGATATTGCATTTAGTTAAGGGGAGGCCGTCAGCCTCCTCTGTCAACTGTGAAATTCCATTAAAAGGGAACAGGACTGCTGATTACCTTTGCAGGAAGTAGGTAAGCTAGAAAACGGACTTGCAGCATACATACCCAGGCTAGCTAATGTCTTTCCACTATCAATTGCCCTGAAGGATTAGGCCCTGGTGACCTGTGGCACATCAGGTCACCAGGTGTAATGTGAAGTGGAAAATAAAGGACTCCCTGTCGTCTTCCTCCCTGCGTGATCCCTGCAACATTTTTTCAGTTAACTGTAAAGCAACCACTTGAAGTTCCAGGAAAATATTCCCCAGGATGTCTAACATCGGTTTTAATTTTTCAGCTTTCTTTCGTTATTGTTTCTCTGGGTCCTTGACCTACAAGTTTTATTTAAATATTAAAGCACTGATATTTTAAAACTAAATGTTTGGGTTTGAGTATGTGTTTTGGGGGATGATTAAGTTAATTATGAAGATACGTGAAGTGCTTTGTAAATCTAAAATGCTATGTAAAGCAAGAGATTATGACAACCTGAGAAAATTTTAATGCAGTTTATCTTGGTTGGAACGGTGTTTGTGGTTTAATGCCCATGTCAGCGTTTTCTGCTTAGAGAGTAAATTCTTTAATTTACAAGAACAAAATAGCCTCTATAATGTGCTTTGAATGCTCTTGGTTCTCAGTAAAAATGAGATCATGATCTCAAATGCAAACAATAGGAATGATACTTTGTAAAACCTGGCTCCTTTAAGCCAAAATTTAATGTTAAGAGTGGTACCATTTGGCAATTTCTAGACAAATAATATCTTAAATTCATGACAAATGACGAAACCACTTTTTAGTTGTCTTTAGGGAGAGAAAACGATTTTCAGTTGGTCTTTAGGGACCAAATTCAGCCACTTTTTTTTTTTTTTTTACTATAATGTCTTTTTTGTTACTCAAATATTGTAGCCAGCTACTTTGAATATACAGTCACGGTCTTGTCTTAAAATTTAAGTGTTGATAACAAAGTGTAAAAAAATTGGAAAAAACCTTGATACGTTGAAACAGTTCAGGGAGCTGTTGGAGGCCAGGGATTTTTTTCAAAGTTAAATTTATACAGTTCTCTGATTAGCCATTTAGCCATGTTTTTCCTATCAAATCATTGGGTTTCATATGCAAATCTTTAACTCTGTAGAATGCTTTGTCACATAACTGGCTTAAATATGGTATCCAACACAAAATATGTTAAGATATTTTGTTCTTGTTTCTGTTTTTCAGGGGTTTTGGGAAACAAGGCTTCCAGTGCCAAGGTAAGCTGCCACGTTGGATTTTATTTTCAAGCGCAACATGAAATAAGCATTCTAAACAGGAACAGTATTTCAGTCATCTTTTTTTTGTGATCCAAAAAAATATTGTTTAGGTATTTTTGAAATATGATAGCTATAAATTTGGGCCTTAAAAAAAAATTTCATATGGTATTGCCTAGTAATCTGCGTATAGAGCTGCCTTTTTCTCATTGAAAAAAAAAAAAAACCTTCCTGTAATCTTTTTTGCCAAGAACGTTCTTGTCAGAAACTGCTGTCTGTGTGTGGGTGTTCAGGAAAAAAATGGAACCGCTTTGTATTCGTGTGGCTTTTCTTCCTTGCTCTTCCTCTGTTCTTCTTCCTCTCTTTTACCTATGTGTTGGGTTGGACTCCTGACTAATTTTAGGCTGTGCATCATAGTAGTAAACTTTTTTGTTTTTTGATTACTGATTGTCATCCAGAACAAAGTTTGCATGTTTTGAAGTTATGTAGCTGATTCGATAATGACCAGTTGCTGTAGTATGAGGCACATTTTTCCTTCAGCTTAAATATGTGACAACGTGTGACACTATCCATTGCACCCAAAAAGAAATCAGTTTCCTCCTCTGATCTGTAGTTGCATTTCATGCACATCAAATATCTAACTTTTCATACTCTCCATTCTATTTGTTTAAACATTTTTTTTTTTTTTTTTAACACTTTATAGCTTGTGAAGGCATCCCAGGTTTATTAGCCTACCTTCTGGTTTCCTGCCCCCTGTCTGTATTATGTTTATTTAGTTCTGGTTACATTTCCCATCTGGGCATCGGTTTATTATTAGGGCAAGTGGAAAGTACATTGTAGCCTGGAAAATATTATCCTAACACCGTTTAATATTAAGTGCATTAGAGAGAGACACTGTGTGTACTTTTTATAACTTGAACATTGTGCTAGTAAGTTGGTTACCTTTTAAAACCTTCTGCAAATTTGTGAGTTTATTTCTTACATATGTTTTCTAAACATATTTCAGATGTGGGTATTTTGTAGTATAATTATTCATTAATACTTGACCTTTCTTGCTTCACAGTGTGCTTAAACCCCTGTTGAATAAATCATTTTGAGAGTTACATTGGGAAATCAAGGGGTATGCCATTAAAAAAGAGTGAAGAGCAAGGTGTGTTGCCCCAGTTTCTTTATAAAAAAAATGGAAGGGAGATGTGGCTCTTTTCAGTTCTGAAAGTTGTGGACCTGAACTTCATGGGCAACGTTTGGGCCTAGACTTGACCATGATTTTAGGAAGTTTAAAGATGTAAACTTGTGATTCTGGGCTCATGTGACTCACATCTGTTGTCATTTTTGGTGATGTTTGGGTGGGGACCTATGGAAACTTATAAGAAAAATATTTACTCCATTTTCTAAAAATATGATATCCAAGAGAAAAGTGGGTATGTTAATTTAAAACTATCATTTTCTGCATACAAAGAACTCAGGATAAGGTCGGTCCCTTTTAGACCTGCTCATGTGAGCAGATTTTGTTGGTAGAATCAGAGTAGACCCGTTATTAGGCTACAAGGGGAACCTGCATGGTTTCCCCCAGAGCGCGTCTATTGAACTTCTAGTGGGTTAGCAGACTGATAGTCTCACATCAGCATAACTCACTTTTACCTAAATGATAAGTGATATTCACAAAAATTGTAAACACCGTATAAAAAAGTGAAATGATATGCTCTTTTCCCTTCCCACCCTCAGGGATAACTTCTATTTAAGATGTCCATTCATTCACTCATTCACACAGTTTTTTAAAAAGAGATTGCAATTTTCAATCATTTTGCAACTTGCTTTTTTGCCTCTGCAGCATGAGGCAGATATCCTTCCATGTCAAAACATCAGTTCTCCTTTATTCTATATAGTGGTTGCATATGTGGCTATATCAGATTTATTCACCCATTTCTCTATTGATGGATATTTTAATTGTTTCTAAGTTCTTACTAGTACAAATACAGCTGTCAATAATATCCCTGGACACTAGTATAGGTATTTCTACAATAGGTATCTAGAAGCGTGTGTATACATTTTAAATTTTAATGAGTACAACTAAGTTGCTCTCCAAAAAGTTTCCAAAAAAATACATTTTCAGTATTAATATATGAGAGTACCCCTTTCCCTTTACTCTTACCAGTATTGGATAATATAAATCTTTTGCAGTTTTGCTCTGGTAGGTGAAAAGGGCCTCTTTTTTTCAATTTCTATCTCCCGGATAAGGTTGAGCATTTTTTTCAGACATGTTTTAGCATTTGTATTTGTTCTGTGAATTGCCTTACTGTACCTGATACTTGAAATTCAGGATTTACAGACAGACAAATTAGAACAGTGACTATGTGCTTTATGTCCTGTGCTTTGCCTCGGTAAAGAATTACACCTCAGATCTCTTTATTTATTTATTTATTTTTTGTGAGGAAGATCAGCCCTGAGCTACCATCTGATGCCAATCCTTCTCTTTTTTTTGCTGAGGAAGATTCGCCTTGAGCTAACATCCGTGCCCATCTTCCTCTACTTTTTACGGGACGCCGCCACAGCATGGCTTGACAAGTGGGGCGTCGGTGCGCGCCTGGGATGCGAACCCTGGGCTGCTGAAACAGAGTGCGTGCACTTAACCGCTACACCACCGGGCAGGCCCCAGATCTCTTTAAATAATGAGTTCCCCTACTGCGCTTACAAATTTTACTTCACAGAAACCATTTCAAGTATAAATCGATTTGTAACATGCTATCTACTTGTTACATTTTGTTTAGTATGTGTCATCTGTATTTGACTTTGAGTAGGCGTGTGATGATCCATTATATCTTATTGTTTATTGTAATTAAGAAGGCTATGTTAGCTCAGGACAATGCTTTTTAATCGCATGAATGTAGTTACCCAATGTTTTCTATTTTGGCACTCGCCTCAAAATTAATCTTTCTCTTAACATCTGACCATTTTGAAATATATGTTTTCTCTTAATGTTCTCTAACTTAAAAACTTTCCTCTTGGTTCTGTTTGATAGTCTCATTCTTATTCAGGAGAATAACTCATTCTCATCTGTGCCTTTGGCAACACACCTTCTGGAGATGGCAGCTGGAGTCCTAGGCTGCTTTTTGTATTCCTTATCTATCAGAGTTCTCCCACCTGATGGAAGCAGTACCTTCTGGCTCTTAGTATGTAGTGTGTTGCTTTGGTCAGTAGATAAAATATTTTGAGCTAAGTATACTTTTTTAACTGGAGAGGTGCATATGCTGCAAATGAGTCACACATTCATGTAGTAAGATAGCTTTAAATCTAAAAGGTTCATCATCGTTTTACTTAGTAAATGTTAAGAATTGGAAGACTAAAGAAATAAGTGAGTTTTTGTTCTAAAAACTGGGTTTGTGCCATTTAGGAAGCATTATATTTTATAAGCATGGAAAAAACATGTAAGATTATTTCTAACTTCTTCCCTTCCCCAAGATACAACATAAGTGGAAGTAGGAGACCGTTCTGAACAGAGATCTATTGGGTTATTCCCACTGTCACTTAGTGGGCTCTCTGCCACTCTTATTTATATTGCAGTACAGGTGTACAACCCCGAAAACTGATCCTACCAGGGCAGGTAACACAGGAGGATCCCTGATGAGAATTTGCTGCCTGAAATAGTGAAACCCAGGGCCTTGAACACTGGGGAGGAGGAAGAAGAGTGCAGGATAGATCGAGAAGCCATGAAACATTTTTGTTAAGGGTCTTAGAGATGAAGACAAGCTTGTCCCTTTGTAGCTCTGAAATGACGTGGCTTGAATTTGCCTTTTGGTGGTGTTCAGCTTATCTTTCTGTTTGCTTGATCTCCTCAGTGTTTATTTCATCTCCATGAGGCTAGCAGAGAGCTGGTCCTTGCCCATCTTGATTTTTTTCAGAGAAAGGAGAGGGAGAAGGGGAACTAGGCTTGTCTGGCTTGGTCCTTGATGAAATTGAGATTCAAACCTGGAAGATCTGTCTCCAGTCAGTAGTTTCTGTCCTGCACCAGATGCTTCCAAAAGCCGTCGTCGCAGAACAGAGCAATCCACTGTGCTGCTCAGATGTTCTCTTCCTCTGGGAGAGAGGAGCCGAAACAGTCTTATCTACTATTTTCAGTACTGGAAAAGGGAATCAGCCAACTCAATTTTTTTCCTCCTCAGAGTTGGTAAGACCCATGCACTTCTCTAATTACAGTGATAGACATAGCGTCTCAAAATATGACCTGTTTATTTGACGTGCCAAGCAGTTACTTACATAGTCTGTTACATCTGGTTAACCTTGGTCTGTTTTTCTTGATTTTCCTATTCTTTCTCTTTTGTTTAATGTCACAAATTAAAATGTACTGCTAACCCAGGCTCTTTAAGATACCCTAAAGAGACAGCATTAGAATTAATCCTTGCCGATGACCGTGATCAACAGGAGACTATTGGCTCTGAATGATCAACACCGGATGTTTGAGGGGTCTGTGGGGAATGAAGTCATGTTTACGTGCTTTCAATATGCCACTGTGACTTAGTTTTGAATCTTGAGCCGTTTCCCTGCTAAGAACACACCAAATATTGTACTTAACCTGCGACTCGAACTGAAGCTCTGTACTTTTCAGTAGTTAAGCCTTAAAAATCAGCTTCCTTTCCCTTTGCTAATGACATTCCATTTTGAAGGCCTGTTTCAGGGTAGAGATTTCTATCAGCTCACCTGAGCGGCATGGTGTTTTATATTTCTTCTATAAGAATGCAAGTTGATGTTTGAGGGAAGAAGAGAAAAGAATGAGTCCCCCTTTGGCTGTATGGACTAAGGAATTGCAGAAAACCAGGCTGAGTTAAGGGAGGGTGACCTTTAACAGAAAGGGGATCAAGTTGGCAGCTTTTCAGAAAAGCATGTCTAGTTATTCTCATCACAGGCTGCAGGGCTCTGAGAGCCAAGCAGTGTGGACACCAAGTGCCAGGAGATGGAAGGGGTCTGAGGTCTGAGTTGGGCTGAATCACGAGGTTGGCCATCTTTAA